GGCCTCAACCTCACAGAGACCCTCCTGCCTTTGCCTCCCGAGTGCTGGGATTAAAGGCGTGTGCCACCACTGCCTGGCTATTTTTACTTATTCTTTGAGAAATAATTTTCATTCCTCCCCTTCCACTTTCCTGGATTCTACTCTCCACCATATTCCCCTCACAATTTCATTTCATTTTTTTTTATAACCCACAGTGTTCCGTTAGTGCTGTCCATTAGGCAAAGGTGTGGGGTTATTCTCTGAACAAGGTCAACCTAGTAGGAACCACACCCTTGGAGGAAACTGATTCTCCCTCCCAGCAGCAGTCTACTGTCTATAGCTCCTCAGCAAGGAGTGGGGGCCCATGAAGCCCTCCTGCATCCATGCTGAAATGCTCACTTGCTCAATCTTGGACAGGTCACGTGGAGGCAACCACAACAGCTATGAGGCCATGGGTCCTTTCAAGACCAGGTTCTTTTTAAAAATTCATTTAGATTTGCTTTTTTCATGTGTATGAGTGTTTTGCCTGCATGCATGTCATATGCATGCATGGTGCCTACCAACTTCAGAAGACGGGGTCGGATCCTCTAGAGTTAGGGATAGTTATAAGCCACTATGTAGGTTCTAGTTGTTGAACCTTGGGTCGTCTGCAAGAGCAACAAGTGTGCTTAATTGCTGGGTTATTTCTCCAGTTCCAAGTCCTAGTTCTTCTATTCTAATTTTAAACACTGCTAGCTCTGAAATCACATCTTACACATCACACAGTAATTATCTCTCTGTATATATGTGGAGAGGGTCCGTGCGTGCATGAGTGGTGTGTGTGTGTGTGTGTGTGTGTGTGTTACAAAATCAGAACGCTACACCAGCAGTGGGAACCTAACTCAGCGAACGCCCCTGGGACAGTTGGGAGGTTTCTGCCCATCAGTTCTAGACATGCTCACAAGTGGTCAGGTGACAGCTCAGCTGTCACTATCACAGGGTTAGACATCCTCATCTTTCTGGGGTCCAGGTGAGAGTGTTGCACCTTCCCTCAGTCTGGTCCGTTCAATACCTTTGGGGTCTAGTTTTACTAATAGTGCTTTAATACCTCATGTGCTCATTTGGTCCCAGATAAGTTTATAGGGTGACACCCTTTTTATGTTTATACGGTGTCATTTATTTGCCCACCTGACTGCAGAACCAGTCTCCTCTGCATTTTCAAATTGAAGCCAAATCCAAAAGGAGTCACCAGGCAAGGCACAGCCTGAAAAGGACAGTTCAGTAACTTAGAATCAGGCACAGGCTCATCTCATCAATGTCCTCAAAGTGTCCCTTCACTTTTTCCAGCTCAGAATTCATGACAAAGTTTAATACGCCCAAAGGCTGCCATGTCTGCCATCTTTATGATGCTGACTGAGTGTGCCTGCTGGTGTTCCAGTCTTAACCTCTTGAACAAATGCTCCATGACCCAGGGTTAAGCTTGCCCCAAAATCTGTGTGCTAGCTTTCCTTGTTAAGTGAGAAACTTAAGCTGAGTATGCTCAGAAACAAGCTGAGCACACTCAGGAAGGTGGCACCCCAAAATACTTCCCACCCCAAAATGCTTCCCAACCTTGGGCTTTTATTTGGAAAGGGCTTCTGAAATAGCTCCCTTCTTTACAGATAACTTTGGTCAGTGGTTTGTTTGTTAGGATTGCTTTAGGTGTTTTACTCACCAAGATACACACTTTTTTTTTTACTCAAACTGTTGTATTTTGTCTCATATCCTTGATCATCTCTTTCACCATCCATGGAGCTTCCAGTCTTCTCTTCCTGCCCCTTGTACCCTCAGCTTACCCTCCTGTGTCAGGATCTATGTCACAACCCCACGGGAGTCAGAGGGGACTAATCATTGTACACTGAGCAAGAGGAATAAAGCATTGAGTGGAAGTGTGTTCTGGGACTTGGCCATCTGGCTAAAAAACATCAAGGCTTAGTGATGCACCCCACAGTGTGTTTTCCCCACCCACGTGAAGCATTGATCAACCCGAGGAACACGGACGGCTTCCTTTGCTTTCATTGGCTCCCCACCTGGGTGTGTACCTCCTCCTTCTCCAGGTCTGCTTCCTACGTGGCATTCCGAGTTTTCCTGAGGACAAAAATGTAATAAGGGCTTCTCCATCCACTTAGTTATTTTTCCAAGTCCTTGAGGAAACCAAGGACCCTTGTGCACAGGGCCCTGTCTCTCCTCTGATCTCTCTATGATGGCAACCTTCACAAGAGCAGGAGGTGGCTTTGTCTTGGTTTTGATGCCTTTTTAAAGCCTGGTACAGAGTTGCTTCTCGAAAGAGAGAAGAAGGAGATGAAGTAGAACGAAGGGAAGGAGGAGGAAGAGGCAGGAATAATGAGATACCAGCAGATATTTTGAGCTGCGCAAGTCAAGTCATTGACAGAAAGATGACGAAGGAAACATGGAAGTCAATGGGCGTGCATGGCATGGGATGGCGACATGGGGGACCAGGATTTCTCAGGTGCTGCATGAGTAAGCAAGAGTGAACAATCACAGAGACCGAACAGTTGTTGTTTGAGACCTTGGTACCAGTGGAGGGCACAGGCCATGGGCAGTCTTTCCTGGAGATGAGAGCGAGAACAAAAAATAGCCCCTTTACAATCCAACAGAGGTAGAGTAAGTTAAATGACACCCGTGGAACCATGGGATGGGCACTCTACAAGCCAACTAGAACGATCTCTTTTAAAAAGTCAGTGTTGGAGCTGGACAGACGGCTCAGTGGGTAAGAGCACTTGCAGGCATAAGGACCTCAGTTCAAATCCTCAGCACCCATATCTAAAGCAGGGCAGGACTGCACATGCTGAAACCCCAGTGTTGTGGAGGAGAAACTGGTGGCTAGCAAATTCAGCTGAAAAGGTGAGCTCCCAGTTCAGAGAGACTCTGTCTAGAGGGACAATGGTGGAGAGTGACAAATAAAATAAATAAAAAGTCACTTGATGTCCTGCTTTGCCACACACTCATGTGCATACATCATACACATAGATTTCACATGCACATACACACACACACACACACGCACATAACAGTCAACATTCTTTTTACACAAAAGCAAGTTTAAAAGAAGACTTAATGTCAAAACTGCTTTTGACTGGATCCATGAAAGCATTGCATCTCACTGTATCTGTGCAGCCATCAGGGAATCAACTCCATGAAGAGAGGCACTAACACAGATGAAGTCCCCAAAGAAGATCTCTGCCTTGCCTTTTGAAGGAGCAATAGGGTGGCTAGTGTGGCTGGAGGAGAGGGAAAGGATTGAGGGAAGGTAGAAAACATAGGTTCTTGAAAACCCTGTAAGGACTCGGGACTTGACCGCTTCTAGCATGTCAGGTTTGGAATAGCTATTTGATGGGTGTGGAGATGCTGAGCAGGAAGCAGGGCCATGCAAGCCTGCAATTCAGAGGACAAGCTAGGAAAAGTCATACAACCATTAAAGTCTTCACCACAGTAGATGATCTCAAAGCCATTAGACTGGGTGAGATCACCAAGGGAATGAGTATAAAGAAAGGACCCAAAGGGTGAGAGCCAGGCCACTCTGAGGCAAGAGGTTAGAAGAAGAGGGAGCAGCCACGGTGGCTGTGAAGGGTTGGGCAGGATGAGGGAGGTCCACCTCCCACTGGAAGTGTGTGTGTGTAGGAGTGAACCCCACAAAGCTATCCGCCCATGAGGGCGCGGACATGTAAACTGACACAGGTAGATATAAAAGGAAGTGAAAGGAAAAGGAACCTCCCTTTTCTCCTGGAAGCCAGCCATGCTTCTAACTCCTGGTTTGTGTGACTCTCTCTCTCTCTCTGGTAAATAAATATACTGGTTTCCATATAGCATTGAATATCATTGATATGTGTGTCTTGTTCTTGACTTCCTTTGACAAAGTGGGGTCCCATGAGGCTCCCAGACCCAGGAGAAATGGCTGATCTTGACCTTGGTAGTGATTGAACCAGACTGGATGGAGAGATTCAGAAGGGGGTGACTAAGTACAGCCAGTACAAATGACTAGACCTGGATCAGAGTCCCAGGGTCACCACCCATAGGGAAGTGGGGTAAGGAGGAGTTCTTGGGTTTTTTTTAAATTTCTCTGTTTTGCTTTGATACTAGAGCAAAGATAGCTAACGTAACTGGAGATGGGCTTGACTGAGGGAATGAAGGAGTGAGTTAATGAGTGCAGATTTGGGGTCAAGTGGGGGCTCTCTTTCCCCTGGGAGAGATCTGAGAAGGTTTATATACCAAAAGAGAAGTCCAGGAGATGGTGATACCCTAGGGAAAGGGTGGGCACACCTCAAGCGGCCCTCTCTACCCAACTCTCCTGTTGACACCAACATCTGGCCCTCCTATCAGCCACTTTGCCTGGAGCCCAATTAGGGCAAAGACACAAATTCTTCCTGCCATGGCCCCATAAAGTCTGGCCTCAGGGCTGCAGCCCATTTGGAAAACGTCTTCGTTTCATTTGTGTGTTTTTTCAATTTGATTATTAAGTGCTGTTTAACACGGGCAAGGGGAAGGCCTGTTTTCATTCCCCAATTCTCCTTCCTCTCTGGCCTGCATGCCTCCCTGGTGAGTAATGGGGAGGCTGCTTTTCTGGAACACGAGGGGAAACTTCCAGCAAATTGCAAAAGCATGTTTCTTCCTTGAAAAAAATCCTTTCACACTTGTTTAGCACTGGGTTTGTAAAGTTCACAAAAAGTCTCCATAAACAGTCTCCGAATGGCCCTGACACCCTTTGTTCTCCTGGAGAGCTCTTCTTTTTTATCCTAAGGGGGTCTGTGACCTAAGGAAATAATGGAAGCAGAAAGCCTGGATTGGAGGACAGTCGTGTAGCCAGGAGAATAAACACACTTTAGAGCTGTCAGAGGACAGTCCTTTGGAGGATCCCGGAAGGGGCCAATTCCCGTCTGCTCTATCCTCGCCATCCCTCAGTTCCCGCGTGGCTGGGGCAGCAAGGTAGACAGAAAGCTAACTAATAAGGTTCAGGAAGAGTAATGCTCTTCATATAAGCAGCTTGTGATGCAAAGGGAGGAGATGGGAGACTAGGAAATAACGTCAGAATTGCCCAAGAAGGGTTCCTCCTGAAAGTCAGAAGCGGTTGTCCTCTGGCCAGGGAAATACAGAGTTCTGAAAGAGGACAGGTGAGGTGTTGGTCTCCGGCAGAAAGACTCTCTCTCTTCTTTGGGTCATTGGCAGCTGAGGAGGTAAGCCTGCAAGGTGGAGCAAAGGGTGGGGGCCCTTAGTACCCCCTGGAGACTGTTGGTGCAGCTCTCAGGGCAAACCAGGGGGAGGTGCTATAGAACTTCGTGGGCAGTGTCTGGAACTAGGTCTTCCTACATAGTTTACTACTGGCTACTGATCTAATCTCTGTTCCCGTGAACTTGCCCCCGTCCACGGAGGGCTGCCTCTGCAGTGTGTCTGTCATGGGCTGTCTTGGCTCCACCACTGACTGACAGAGTAGAAAGAGTGGCCCTGCCCGGCCCATTCCTGTTTCTCTGTCTGTAGAGTCTTCCTTCCTTTTGAATGCTCCATGCATTTTCTTTCTCACCTATGCAAAAAAAAGAAAATGCCCAAAAGAAATTGGGTATGGTGTTGCATGCTTCTTATCCCAGCACTTGGGAGGTGGAGGTAGGAGGATCAGGAATTCAAGGCCACCCTCTCTTGTGTAGCAAGTTCAAGGTCAGCCAGGACTACTTGAAACCCACAGTCAAAACAATGAAGAAAACAACCTCAAAAGCAGGAACAAAAACTGAGAAACGGCAGGGTGTTCTGTTGGGACAAAGCCCTCAAGTGCAGCAATGCATTTGCTTGGCTGGGAGACTAGAGATATGAGGGATGGCAGGAAAGGGAGAACAGAGTGTCTCCTCCAGGCCTGGGAATTCTCTGAAGTCCAATGTGCCTCCTTAATGCAACTTCGCACTCTGGGAGGACAGCCACCAGGCCTGGGTCTTGCAATGTTCCCATGGTGCTCAGTAACACAGCAAAGGCTTTATGAGTGACAGGACAGGAAAGTTCTTAAATGTGCCAGAGTCCAGGGCACTAGCCTGCCGCAGGAGAATGGGCAGGTACCACCCCTTACCTCTCACACCCCAACTCCCCCACTTCCCCACCTCTACCCCCCCTGCCCTCCACCCCACCCCACCTCTACACCCCTGCCCTCCACCCTACCCCACCCCACTGCCACCCCATCAGAAACTGGGCTGCCTCAAAGTGCCATTTCCTGCTGCGGAGGAAGCCCCGATCCTCCCAGCCTGTAGGCTGCTGCCTCCTCTTCCTCCCACAGCTGGCCCAGCCACTCCTCCCTGTTCCGCCTTCTCCTCACCCCATCTCTTTTTCTCTTCCTCTTTCCATATCTCTGATCTTCCAATGCCCCCCATCCTTCCTGTTCCTTTGGCAGAGGGCAATGGTGTCATCGGGGGGCTGGCCCGGGTGGCCTCCGGCTCAGGACTGGTTTCATGCCGAACCTCTGCGTAGAGCCCCACAGAAGACAGCTACCTTCTCCCAACTGCTGCACTTCCGTCTTTATGTCTGTTTCACAAATGCAGAAACTGACGCTAGAGAGATGACCCTACCTCCTCTCAAGGTCTTCTGCTGCTGGAATTCTGCCCACGGAATCGTTTGCTGGACACATCTGATCCTCTCTTCCTGGAAAGCGCCAGTCTACATGGTTGCTCCGGGGTTATTAACTGAAGTTCTGCGTCCTGTACCCCTAGCATACCCAGCCCCATCGTGATTCCACTGCCCCCACCCCCAATTTAGCATCAGTCTAGTGCATGGAAGCTTGGGTCTTTCTGTATCCCAGGCTCCTTCCTCTAGCATCCATGGAGAATAAGCACTATTGTCTCCTTTTGATAGCATCAGGATCTCTGCATAATGTATTTGCCGGAGCTAGCAGTGGAATGGATGGCTTCAGTTTTGTCCACCCAGGGCTGTCACCACACCCACTGAACCCACTTCCCTATGTGTCTTGAAGCTGTAGTAAGTGCAAAGGGGATCGTGAGTTTCAAACATCCTAGTGGAGAAGAAGAAACTTCTCTGCTAACTATGCCAGTATTTTCAGGGAGTAAATGGAAGCAGAGTTTGCACAGGTAGCTGGGGAAGCTGACCTCTGGTCTCTAGAAGCTTCTTTTCGGGGCACACAGGTATTTACACACACAGATGGCTGTTTTGTATCTGGACTCGGGGGCTTGACTGAGAGATTGCCGCATGGTCGGCACACGCTGCACAGCATCGTCAGGAGAGGGTGTTTATGGGCCTCCCGGTTAATGATTCCCATTTATGGAACATGTGTGCAGCAGCCGAATGGGGTTGGCTAAGAAGGGCCATCAGCAAGGCCTGGGCCTCACAGCCTGGCTACACGCACAGGCTCAGCAAGGCAGCTGTCGGGACTGTTCTGTTACAGGCTGGGGGAATCCCAGGCTCCCCACAAATCTGGCCTTTCAACTCTCTCAGCATCCCAGTGAAGAAGTCCTGTGAGGGAGGCTGGGGCCAGACTGACTGAGCAGACTAGCAATGAAAACAACCGCTGCGATGAGGGTGAGAGCTAACGTTTCCAGGGTGCTCGCTCCATGCCGGGCTTGTTGAAAGCTTGTGCATGTTTTCTCTTTCATTTAATCCTTGCAGCACGCGTGTAGAGTCCAGACATGGTTTTTGTCTTTTCAATTAAGCTTCATGGCCTGAAAGAAGGAACACTCAGGTTGTCCAAGGCCATAGAGTTATAAAATGAAAACATTTTAATATGTATCCATATGCATATGTTGTTTAAAAAGTAGGTTTTCACCATGACGTCTTCATGCATGCATATCATGTACTTTGCTCATATTTACCCTCAACTCCCACCCCCTCGTCTCCTCTTGCTTCTGGCTGCCTTCCACAGAGCTGAAATTAAACCCTAGTGTAACTGTAGAGCTAGTCTGAGAGGTGTGGAAAAGTGAATTCTGGAAGTTCAGTTGCATCATTTTGATCACAGTTGACATGACAGCTAAAAAGATATGTTTGGAGACTTAGAAAGACCTAGATTACACTTAGAAGCTGCAGAGCTGGAGGCCTGGGAGATGGCTCAGGGGATAAGAGTGCTTGCTGCCAAAGCAAGAGAATTCAATACTGTGGTACCCACGCAAAAACCAGGCTTGACTGCGCATGCCTGTAACTCTTGTGGGTGGAGACTAGAGGATCCCAAGACCCCCATAGCCAGAGACCTGTCTCAATAAATAAGACGGAGAGCCTTGGAGGATGGTTCCCAACAAACTCCTCTGACCGCTGCATGTCTGTTACAGATGTGCATACTCTCACATACACATGCATACACCCCATACCACCCATGCCTCCCCACCACAAGGTACCTTGATTTTCTCTCTCTTTCTTTCTTTCCTTCTTTCTTTCTTTCTTTTTTTGGTTTTTCGAGACAGGGTTTCTCTGTATTGTTTTGAACTCACAGAGATCCACCTGCCTCTGCCTCCCGAGTGCTGGGATTAAAGGCATCTGCCACCAATGCCCCGCTACACCTTGATTTTCTTACTAAAAGTGGGGGAGAGTAGCAACCTCCAGCTCTAGAACTGTGGGAAGTCACATGTGGTTCAGGGCCCAGCAAATACGAAACCCCAAGTAGTTATTCAACAATTGGACCCCACTCTTCTGGAGCTCTGTAGTCACCACCTTCTCAAGCACCACAGCCACGCGTTAGCTGAGCAGGACAACAGAACCAACAGCCATGACTGTGTCAGGGACCACTAAAAGCAGAGTGAGGAAGGAGCAAGAGAGCAGTGCGTGCAAAGCACACTTTGCATCTTTGAGGAACTGCGGAGCTCTCCTTGTTGTCTTTGGAAACCCCATTCGGTCCTCTCCCTGTTGAGCACAGCCTTACACACTGCACGTTGTCATTAGGCACAGAGAAAGAAATAGCAGAAACCCAACCTTCAAAGGTCTTTGGTGCTCTAGGGGGAAGATGGGACCAACAAAAATAAAGCATTCGTTAAAAACAAAAAATGACATGTCATATACACACATACTGTAGATAATCACTACCAGCCGTGGGGAGACTCGAGCAGGGGCTGTGGGATTGTGCCAGAGTGCCTGGGATGACATCTGAGAAGTTTCTGGAAGGAGGGGGGATTGATTTGGGAGGATGGCTGTGGGTCCCTCTTGAGGGGAGGTCGGGTTCATTCTACTCCTATCTTATCTGTGCCTTCCCTAGTACACAGTAGGTGCCTTATGCTTGCTCACTGAATGAGAGAACGAGAAGTGACAACTGGGAACTCCAGGGAGGGTGTGGACAAACAGTGGGCTGTGACTCAGAGGGGGGCTGAGCGCTCCATGGATGTCGAAGGCCTGAGTTTATTTTTCTTTAGTATTCTCTGCCAGTGGTTGGCCCATGATAGACCCAGAGGGCCAGTTTTTCTTTGGAGAGAAGGCGTAGGGGAGGAGAATTCTATTTATGCAGTCTGGTTACATCTCAGTTGTGTGTGTGTGTGTGTGTGTGTGTGTGTGTGTGTGTGTGTGTGTGTGTGTGTGTGTGTGTTTAAATACACAAATCCTTCCTAATACCAGAATTTCAAAATGAAAGAAAAGGAAAACATCTCCTCAGTGGACACAGACCGTTTTGTGTGCCTGCCCAGGGGCAGTCACATGGCATTTTGATGGCTGAACTGAAGGTGGCTCTCCCGAGTCTCCTTTCCGGGTGTTTGTAGTAGAGGCAGGAGGGTAGAGTTAGGAGAGACCTCCGACAGACTTGCAGGACAAGCATGGCCACCAGGCTCCCATGGCTGCAGCGGCCAGGCTTGTGGGCTCTCTTTGCCTGGGTTTGCATACAGGCACATGACAAAGCACTCCAGCTTTTGAGGATTGGAGGCTCCTGCCCATTCTCACAGGGTCCATCTTGTCTTTATTCTCTTCTCCTTTGTACCCGTCTTCTTTCTGACTTCCCAGCCATTGGCTCTCATGATGCGTTGGCAGCCCTTCAGAGATGCTCGTTAGTCCTGGGATGCAGAAGGTCAGTTCCTACTGAAAACCCCTGGATCATATTCATATTCAGAACCCCTGAAATGTGGCTATGGTGCCTCTGGTTGACCCCAGACTGCTACAGATGCCATGTCTCCAGTCTGGGAATGAATCCTAGTGGTGTGTCATCACTCCATGGTGATAGATTCGGGACAGGTTGTGACCTAGAACACTATCGGCAGCTCCAGGGAAAGCTTTTTGTGGTCTA